GAGCCAAGTCATAGATTCTTGATCAAAACTCCCTCTATTGGTAATGAATAAGATACGGATCTGGACATAACAGAAAACTTCACAATCTGCTATTTTCTCATCCTGTGTCCTACCCTCTTCCATAGCCCTTTCTCCAGTTGAGAGCCTCTGCTCTGTTACACTGCCTCCCTTTAAATGTCCTTCAGCTAGAACTCAGTATGAAAAAGAAAAAGGGTGCCACAGATTGCAGGTTTATACATGCATATACATAGCACACAATGTCATCAGGACTTTCTTATTGAGACAGTCTCACTCTGTCACCCTGGGTAGAGTGCCATGGCATGGCATAATCCTAATTCACAGCAAGCTCAAACTCCTGGGTTCAAGTGGTCCTCTTGCCTCAGTTTTTCTATTTTTAGTAGAGACAAGAGTCTCATTCTTGCTCGGGCTGGTCTTGAACTCCTGAGCTCAATCCATCTGCCTTGGCCTCCTAGAGTGCTGGGATTGCAGGCATGAGCCACTATGTGGAACCCCAACATAGACATTTGAATGATTTGTAGACAATGGAGATCATTTAATGAATCAGGCAAATGATCCATAAGGGGATAAGTAATTTTAGCCCCAGGAAGGTCAGAGAAACTAGGCCTCATTATTTGGAAAGGTAGAGCCTTAGAATCCTCTGGTAAGCTGTTAGCAATGCAAATCCATTATGTCTGTAGTACCTTAGGAAATAGTACAAAGCGATTATCTTGTTTCTCTTACCTTTTAATTAATTTGGGCAAGGGATTCCTGATAGTGAAGTTTCTAAAAACAGGAAATACACATTGCTACTGTTTTATTCTGTATGTTATGTTCGGGGACAATGTTGGATATTATCTATTCTCATTTTAGATCCAGGGGCATGCTATTCCAGCGTACAGAGAAACTTTTTGTGATAAACTGCTACTTTCCCTGTTCATTTCCCAATAGGAGATATTAAATATATCTAAGAAAACAGCTTCATGTTTTATGAACTTCTCCAGACAACAGCAGATCACAGATATACAAGCTGAAATCTACCAGGTAAATTATGTTGAACTATTCACTTTTTACTTCTAGTAAAGAAAAAAATACTGTTTATGGATTCAAACAGAATTCTCTTTAACTTTGAACAGTGTCTAGCACATAGCTAAATAGATGTTTACTTGTAAATAGCAGTAGTAATACTAAAAGTAATAGTAGTAGTAACAGTAGCAGCAGCAAGGCAAGAACACCAAAAGGCAAAGTTTCCGTATATCCCTTGGGCTCTTAAACAAATCATTTTCCTGTCTCACTTAAGGAATATAGTTCCTGGCCTGATGTAGTGGCTCAACCCTGTAAACCCAGCACTCTGGGAAGCCAAGGTGGGAAGGTGGATTGCTTGAACTTTTGAGTCTAAGACCACCCTAAGCAAGAGTGAGACATTGTTCCTACTAAAAATAGAAAAATTACAGTAGCACACATCTGTAGTTCCAGCTGCTTGCGATTTTGAGGCAGCTCAAAAGGAGGATTGCTTGAGCCCAGGAGTTTGAGGTTACAGTGAGATGATGATGCCACTGCATTTAGGGCAACAAACAAAAATTTACTCCTGGTAGCAGGTTCCTGGGTTAAAGGATATTCATTTTTACCAAACCTTAGTTTCAGGATACTTTCTTTGTGAACTAAATGTTACTTCTGTTTTTTATGTAGAAAAACCTGGAAATTGAACTCCTGAAACTAGCAAAAGACACAGAAGATGTTGTTCATCCTTTCTTTTTGGGTACGTGGTTTGGTTGAGTGGGTAATCATTAGAGTTTCAACTTTTTCTTGAATTATTATAAATAAGCACTAGGTAGCAAAATTATAATGTTTCCAAGTATTGGCTCTAAGCATACAAAGTCTTTAATTTCTACACTCAAATAGAAAGTCCTGTTGACTTGGCTAGTGCAAATAACATAAAAAATGACCAAGTTGCTTCCTCAAAGTCAGGAGAACTTGAAAGACAAATGCTGAAGAACTTTCTAGATTAAAGGAGACTAAAGGGGCCAGGCATTGTGGCTGACCCTTATAATCACTTCTAATCACTTATAATTACTTGGATTTTGGGAGGCCTAGGCTAGGGGAATCACTTGAGCTCAGGAGATGGGGACCAGCCCGGCAGGAGTAAAACTCTGTCTCTATAAAATATGTTAAAAATTAGCTGGGGTAGGCATGGTGACTCAATACCTAATACTCTGGGAGGCCAAGGCAGGTAGATTGCCTGAACTCAGGAGTTAGAGACCAGCCTGAGCAAGAGTGAGACCCTGACTCTACTAAAAATAGAAAAACTAGCCGTGCATTGTGGTGGGTGTTTGTAGTTCCAGCTACTTGGGAGACTGAGGTAAGAAGATTAGCCCAAGAGTTTGTGGATACTGTGAAATGTGATGCCATGGCACTCTATGGAGCACAACAAAGTGAGACTGCCTCAAAATGAAACAAAAAGAAACAATAAAATTGACTGGACACAGTGGCATGTCCCAGCTACTTTTGAGGCTAAAGCAGGACAATCACTTGAGCACATGAGTTTGAGGTTGCAGTGAACTATGATAATACCTCCATGTTCTAGCCTGGGCAGTAGAGCAAGACCCTGTCTCAAAAAAAGAAATAACTATAAAGTGATTCTTCTTTTATGTTCCAGTGTAGAATATTAGAGGCAGGGATAAAATTAAAAAGCCTTTATAGGACAGCGCCTGTGGCTCAAAGGAGTAAGACGCTGGCCCATATACCGGAGGTGGCGGGTCCAAACTTGGCCCCAGCCAAAAACTGCAAAAAAAAAAAAAGGCCTTTATGAGAAGAATAGGGCTCTGGCGTAGAAAACTGAACAAGAGGTAGAATTGAGAACCACAGAGAAAGAATTTAGTACTACATTTGCTTATCTGTAGGAAAAGAGAAAGTAGTTAAAAATGAAACTGGTATTAGTATAAAGGTAGCAAAGGGGATATTTAAGAGGGAAATGACAGGATTACTTTTTGACATTGATAATGTGAAACTAAAGCCAAGAAGAATGGTATTATTGATTCCAAAACTTGTACTATTGCTAAATGTAATTATTATTTCTGGTTTGTTTAGCTCAGAAGTGTCATACCCTGCAAAGCATGAATAATCATCTGGAAACAGTGTTAAAAGAGAAGAGATCCCTCAGGCAAAGACTACTGAAACCCATGTGCCAGGAGAACTTACCTATTGAAGCCGTTTATCAAAGGTTGGACTGAAAAGTAGAAATTAACAGTTATGCATGTTTTCAGAGGGTAGTTTTTGTTTATACTAACCATTACTTTGTAGCATAATTCATAAACAATACATTTTTTTTGTGTGTGTGCAGTTTTTGGCTGGGGCTGGGTTTGAACCTGCCACCTCTGGTATATGGGGCCAGTGCCCTACTCCTTTGAGCCACAGGTGCTGCCCCATAAAATAATATGTTAATGATTGCATTTGTTAACATTGTTAATGTTGATACATTAAATTAGAAAGTAAATCCTTTGCTTTTAAAGAATTATGGCTATTACTTGGAAGGAACTAGAGACCATTATCCTAAGTGAAGTATCTCAGGGATGGAAAAACAAATACCACCTGTTCTCGCTCATAAGTGAGAGCTTATGTTGTCATAAAGTGGTATAACGGACATTGGAAACTAAGAAAAGAGGATGGTGGGAGGTGATTGAGGGATCAAAAATTACCCACTGGGGCCAAGCACAGGGGCTCATGTGTATAGTCCTCGAACTCTGAGAGGCCAAGATGGGAGGATTGTTTGAGCTCAGGAGTTTTGACACCAGCCTGACTAAGAGCAAGACCCTGTCTGTACTAAAAATAGAAAAATTAGCCAGG